TCCTACGTCACAGCAGTCACTAGGCTTACACAGTTTGTGCTATCTGGCCAAGATCACCTGACTGCCTGAACTCAGTTTTTGGTGTCTGAATTCCAAACCTGTATTCATCCATTACACTGGTGCTGGCTAATGCTGTGTGTAAGCAACAGAAATATTGTGGGTAGGGTAATCATATTTGAGCAACAAATAGTGTAATTTTACAAGAATACCCAAGGCCATTTGCTTGTTCCATTAGTACCATAGATTGCCATGGAATCCACTGAGTTTTAAGCATTCAGAGTACTTTATACATTTCACCATTATCAGTGCTATGATGCAAAGAGCTACCAGTTTCTGATTTTAGAAGTGAGGCAATGGAGGCTAAGTAAGAATAAAAAGATTTGCTTGAGAATCCTCAGCTGGAGCTGGGATATCCATTACCAAGCACTTCACAGTGTCTAAAACCCATTTGTGTCTCATGGCATGAAATGACTCAGCTTAAAGATGTCTGTTTCCTGTTCCCATCAGTATATACGTAACTACTACAGGAGAAGAAGACAGACAGAACGTTGCTACCATCCCAACTGCCTTTACCGTGTGTGGCTGTAGAGCCTGGGATTGAACCCAGGGCCTTCCTCATGCTAAGCAGGCACTGTGCTGCCTGGCCATACCTTCAGCCCCCAACTGCCTGTGTCTTTAACTGGCCAAATGATAAGCCTTAAAAGTTTCTGAACAGTTTTCTTGATATACATATATTTCCTGCTTTAAAAAGGATTTGATAGGCTATACCAGTAGTAGTGAACCAGTGGCATCTGTGCTGTAGCAGGCTGTTTGTATCATTGAAAACTCTAAAGGGTTTGCCATTACTGAGCGATATACTAGAGATTATTGGATTTCCTGGAGGGGTTGGTTTGTTTTTGAGATATAGTCTCACTCTGTGTAGCCCAGGCTGGCCTTGAATTTACAGCAGCCCTCCTGCCTTAGCCTCCCCAGTGCTGGGATTAAAGACATGCACCACCACACCTATCTTAGAGAATATTTAAGAGTAAGTAAGTAGGTTTGGAATTAGATTGAAGAGTGAGATTTGTAAGACAGGAGAAGCCCATGTTAAGGCAGGCTATCAGGGTGTCCACTAGAATTGTCAATGTATCCTGTAGTCTGTTAAATAAATACAAGCATAGTTTAGATTGAACAAAGGCAAGACTGCCTTGTTTCAAATTTCTGTTTTGAATAATGTGTTTAAAACTTTGTTTCAGTAACCTATTGATAGTGCTTAAAAAGTCTAGGGAAGCTTTGAGGCTATTTATTTTCTGGGACTATTGGCCATAGCTAGTCTTTCTTTAAAGTCAGTTATGAGAATTGCTCTGTATGTGTTATCTAGGTCGACTTTATTTTTCTTTTAGCTATTTATGTTCATCTGCAAGCATTTTTTTATTGTATCATAGAAATGTTATATTCCATTCACAAACTTTACTTCTCCCTGTATGGAACTCTGCTGTGGTCAAACATTTCCATGTTTGAGTGCCTGGGCCTGTATGAAAGACCAAGTATTTCCTGAATTTCTAAATTACTTTTCTTTGGTGTCATAGTGGTAGTAGCAATTGAAATGTACAAAGCTAGCTGGCTACTTACTACTGTCATCTGAAAAACCTATTTAAAACAGTATCATCAAACTCATGGTATTGGTTTGGGAAAGGGTGAAAATAATAAAACAGCACAGTGTGACAGATGAGCCGCACTTCCTTCACGTGTGTTACCACATTCCCACCTTGCTCTTCGGGAGGGGCTGGGCAGTGGGCTTCTGTGGCAGTATGAAGCTCACTCTTGCTTTCCACCTGAGTCTGCGATGCGGATTTGTCCACGAGGAACAGAGGGAGGCTCCTCACTGAAATACCATTGGTGAGTCAGTTATGTTCAAGCGTGCTAAGTGTTTGAATGTTGGAGAGAATAAAAGGTGATCCCAAAAAAGAGAATGGCCACGTTGAATGCAACCACAGATAAGCTGTTCTGGTAGGTTAACAGGTGACTGTATTATGAACAGAATTGTATTGCCAATGTGTTGGAAGGAAGAGAGGAAGAGGGTTTAGACTGTCACCAAAAGTCAAAGGAGTTTTTGTTGTTGTTGTTATTATTTTAAGCCAAGAACACAGGTGTTATTACCTGGACCACAGCTTTGTGGGGCCAAAAGTAGGTGTGTAAACCCAGTCAACTTGGGAATGCTCTAAGACTTAGCCAGCCTTGACAGGTCAGTCAGATGGCTGGCCAGCCACCACAAGTTACATTGTAGCTTCTTGACTGGGAGGCACCAGGCCAAGGTCAAACACTCTGAACTGGGGCTGAATTTTGCCCAGCCACAATGTACCAGGAGCTGTGCTTTTCCTTTCTGCTGTGCTGCGGCAGTGTCATCTGGGAACAGGACCTCAGCTGGAGCCCAGAAGAGTTGCTCTTGAACCTCCTTAGCTGTGCACCATGGGGTAGGGCAGGGCGTGACCAGGGCTTCTCTGCTCGTCCTTCAGCTGTCCTGCCTGCCTGGCCATGAGCGCATGCGGATGCAGCTGAACCCAGGTGCAGATGCTCTCAGTCCCCCCAGGAGTGTGCACTTGGGTGGGGAGATGCAGCCTAGCATTGCTCCATGCCCCCTCATGCCTCCATTATAGCAGTGGGCAGGGTAACAGTGGGGACACCAGCAATTCCTCACTGTGCCCAGCAGCCTGAGCCTCGCACAGCTACCATATGTGTTCTTGGCTGCCTTGAAGGTAGCACCTACCTGGCAGCAGATCCTCAGCCAGAGCAGGGCAGAGTTCCATGCAGGATGGCTGCTCAAGGCTGCCTGTGACACCTTTGTACCTGGTGCTTGTGAGGAACTCGCACACCTTCCATCATTCCAGCAAAAAAGCTTTCTTTCCCACATTTGCCATGTATGTGTGAGTACTTTTTTTTTTTTTTTTTTTTTTTTTTTTTTTTTTTTCTGTGTTTTTTTCTGAGGGTCTTTTGCTTGGCTGGGAGGTAGTTATTCCATTGAGCTATCTCCCCGGCCCCTCGAGTACTGCTTTTGAGACTATGTTTAATCAAAGTGGAAACTTGCCAAGATGTTGCCAGCTCCCCAGTTATGCACAGAAAGCTGTCCTCCTGCCATACCCTGTCTTCTAGAGGCCGGTGTGCATCTCGCTGCCCCACTGACCCGCTGTGGCTGGGGTCTGCTGTGGCAGAAAGGTCAAGCCGTGTGGCTGAGAGTACAGGGAGAATGGCAGCATGTTGCACAGAAGCCTGAGTAGTGCAGAAGTAAATATCAGTGGGACTGTGTCATTGGGGCTTAGATTTATCCTGGTAGCCAACAGCTTGATTAATTTTATAATTAGTCTCCCACAGTCAAAGCAAGAATGTTTCCACAGCTACCACCCATAAATGTTAGGCAGTGGAATTGGGCTGTAAACACTATTTCATATCCCCAACTCCTATTCTTTGTATTTCTCATTACCCCACCATTAGAATTCAAATCCTGTTGATTCTGCATAAAAAAACAAACAAACAAACAAAAAAAAAAAAACGAAACAAAACAAAAAAAAAAAACTTGTTCTTTCCTCCCCTTGCCATCATCCTAATACAGGTCTTCATTATCCCCCTTTTATCTCATCACCTCCTCAGTTGCCAGGTCCCAGCACAGGTCCTAGCCCTCTTCCCTACTGCCCTCAGCCCACCCTCACAGTCCTGCTTAAACTCCATTCAGGGCACAAGACACTGCTCCCTGCAGAAGCTAGAGGTGTGCCATGGGTTGTTAGAGCACTTGAAGAACAGGCAGAACAAAAGGGTGGTTTGAGGACATTTTATGCTTCCCTAGGTTTCTCCTCACACGAGTGGGCTCTGTGCTGTACTGCCCCCGTGGTCTCTCCCTCTCTCTGCCCCATGTGCCTTTCTCCAGTGTTTCTCTTCTGACCTTCCCTGCTGTGTTAGCCAGCTCTCCATCACCGGCACAGTACATGACACCCATACCTTAAGGGGAGAGCCTTCACTTGGCTGGTGATTGAAAGAGATTTAGCCCATAGTTAATGACTCCAAGGCAGAAACCTTGTGGTGGGTGCATATCGCGGAGCAGCTGCTTAGTGCGTGGTGATGCAAAGTGAAGGAGGTGGGCAGTGCCAGAGAGAAGGAGCAGGACATCAGGCCTAGTGACCAAGGTGAGCCTCCACGAGCACCCAGACACACTGGACATGGGGTCTGCCAAGCCAGTCAGGTGGACACAGTGGAGCTTTACCAGCACACCCACCCTCTCCTGCATCTCTCAAAGTGTCAGGTCAGCAGGGCATCCATCCCACACTGGGTGGGAGGTCGCTGACCTAAAGGGTATGTGTAAGCTGAGTCTCCTATAATGGAGCCAGCTGATGCTCTAAAACACCAGTGCCAGCCTGAGAGCAGCCGGCTGCTCCTCTCTCCACTAAGGAGCTCTGAACAGAGAGCACCTAAAAAGCGGTGTTCTAAGCCCAGATGCTCTCTCCAAGGTGGGCTTTCCACCTCCTCCATGTTGGGCACACAGAAAAAATGACACTACTTGTATGACACAGCAAGGCAATCAGTGGGAACTGTGCGGGGAGTCTGGTGACTCACCCTCCCGCAGCACCTGAGATTCTGTCCTAAAGGAGTGTGTTTGCCTAATAAAGTGGCTCCTTGGTTTTTTTTGGTTTAGTGATTATTCTGTTGCTGAATAAATAAGATTATATTCCTAAAAGTGAGATGTTTGTGAGCTGACTCTGCCCTACATAAATTTTGCCGGATTCTCCATAAACACTGTTTATCTCTGCTGTACTCACATGTGCTCTGAAAAGTCATGAGCTTGTTGTGACCCTTCTGAAACAAAGCTAAAATGCACCCCATCTTGGGGCAGCCTGAGCCAGGCTCAGTGTTTCAACATGTCCCTGTAGGAGTAAGGGACTGGGGACACCTTTCAGGAGCCCGTGCTTCACTGCTGCTGCAACAGGGCTCTCTCTGAATGATAGTCACATTTAACTCTGTTTCTCTCTTTGTAGGAATTCAGAAATATGCTGGGGACTCACCGGAATCTGGTATCGCACTCCCCTGCTGCGACTCACCGCCGCTCAGGGTGTTCCCCGGTGGGGCTGTGGATGCAAGGGCTGCATGGAGACTGCGCGTGGAGGGTGGCCGCAGGCCTGGCTCTTGTTGCTCTTCTTTTTGCCGTTTTTGCCAGGGTCTATAATTAGAACACCGTGAAATGAAGCATCTGTGAAGAATACATTTCTAATTAAAACCTTCAGTGAACAGGAAAGTGACCGCGTCCATTCTGGAAGGGCGGCAGTGTATACTTGCTGAGCTGCCTCCTCTTCTGCCCACTCGTGGTGAGGCTTTCCCTGTCTCACACAGCGTTGAGCACATGGACTGCCTGACTACAGCTGAATTGCAGCTGCCATACCATATCTTTCAAGTTAAATTCCTGTGAGCTTATTTTTAGCAAGCAATACAAATGGTCACATTTTTTAAAAGTTTCCAATCTTCAGGTGCATACCTAACTATACAGTGGTACTGGTTATCTTTTCCTTATGTGGAAGAATTCTTGATCCTTCGTAAATATTTTAAGGCATATCTTCTTCATGCTTTGTTTGGCGTTCCAGCACTACAAACACCTCCTTCACAGCAGATGTGTTCTTGTGAAGTTTACACAGAAGCCTGTGTCTGGAGCCCGAATCCTGTAGGAATGTGCAGGAGAGCCTGGCACTTCAAGGACTGCTGGCAACAGTCTCCAAAACATGAAGAATCACCCACTGCCACAGTGTCCACAAACTTTGAAAAGTTAGATTTGTCAAAATCAAACCATGCCCCTTTTTTTCTGGCAGCTTAGACCAATCAGATCACCTTTTTATTCCTACCTAACACCATTGGTCTTTACTAAGTGAAATGATTTGTTTCACAATAAAAAGAATTGGTGTAATAAATAAATCATTTGTCTATCAGAATTTAAGCTATTTGGATTGTGTGGGCACAGGTAAATTGAGTGCCTTGTGGCTACCATTGAATATTTTCCTCTAAACCCTCGTTCTCCTTCTCTTTTATATGTCTTCTGAGGAGCACAAATCAGTGTTTAAGTATGTCATCAGCTAATTTCAAGAAATGTACATATGCATGCTTACACGGAAGGGTTGGTACAGTTCCTCTAAATGTGTCGCGTGCTTCCGGGAGGAGCTCATTATTTAAGGTGAAAGCTCTCAGTGCCCGAGTCCAGTCAGAGCACAGCACACCTCAGCGGGAGTGGGCCTGATGGGGATCAGAAGACCGAGCATGCCACTTACTTCCATTCTTCAACTCTACACATTATTTCTTTGTTAACAACAGTGGGTCCCAGCGTGGAACTCACTGAACAAAGGGCTATCACCTAAAGCCTGAGGCACACTGTGTGGGAGAGAAGAAATGCTTTAGGCCTGTGACTGGCAGGAGACAGAGAGGGACAGCATTTTGTTTTCTTTCTTTTTTTTCTTTTTCTTTTTTATTTTTTGGCAGAACAGGGGATTGAACTCAGGCCCTTGAGCTTGCCAGGGAAGCACTTATTCCACTGAGCCATCTCCCCGGCGCAGTATTTTGTTTTCTGCTTCACGTTTCTCACTGCCCACCCACAGCTCTGTGCTTCCCCCTCTTCCACACTCCTTCCTTTTGATTCAAGGACTATTTTCCACATCCAGGCTTCTCCCCACCCACCACAAGTGTGACTTGCCCTGTTACACTGCAACTTGTCTCTGCTCTTTGGTCCAAAAAAGAAACAATGTCACTGCCCTGCAGAAGGGCCTGGAGCATAAGCAGTAGCAGTCACCCTCTTGGTGACCAGTTGGCAAGAGGCATGGCAAAGGTTTTCTTAAACTATGAAAACCTATTTGAAAAACTATTGGAAAAATGTACTCAAATCACAAGGATTTTTAAAAAGTGAGTACACACTGTAGCCAGCCCCAGAAGGCTCATTGTCTACCGTCCTGGCCCGCTGAAAAGCACTCCCTAAAGTAACGCTGTAGATTGATGTGCATTTATATAGGCGGACTCACATGAAGCGCACTGTCTCAGCTCGCCGGACTGCGCTCAGCAGCAGTGTGGAATGCTTATCTGCTGCTGTACCCGGCAGCGACTCACTGGTGCTCTCTCTTGCGCAGTGTTCATTTTGTGGTCTGAGCTAGCCCCTGGGATTTATTCGGTCTACATTCTGAGTGGTGTCTGGTGCTTTTTGGCCATGTATATAGTGCTGCCGTGCAGATGTTTGACAACACAATATCTGAGTGCTGAGCATATAGCTAGGCGTTGAAGGACTGTGTGTGCATGTGCTCCAATGCGTAGCCACTGGCATGGGGCTTTCCGAAGTGGCTGTGCCAGTCCACATTCTGCCAGCTGCTGATGTGAACTCTGCCATCCTCTTTGATGTTTTCTTCTGTACCTTTCATATTCTTCAGCAGATTCTCTGCTGGCTATTTTAATAATAAGAGCCATTAACTACTACTTTAAAGTACTCGATGTGTAGTGTGCACTGCACAGGTGCTAACCAGGCTTGAAGAGGCCACTTTGGGAGAGGTATTATTCCCATTTCAATGAGGAAAAATATCAGACTCGCAAGACAAACTGGCACAGGAGCCTCAGAGCTAGGAGCAGAACCTGAACGCAGCTTGCCTCCAAAGCTGAACTCCTATATTGGGAAATCTTCCCACACCTCAGCCAGTGTTTGGCCTCAGCTTTATCTCCATGCACAGATAGGTAGCTGGGGTTAGCTGTGTGGACACCTGAGTTCTGCAGGAACTCAGCTCTTTACTTGGTATGGTCCTGCTCCGTGAAGGACATGGTGCCTGATACGCATTTTAAATAAATGAGTCAGGTATTTTTTTTTCCCTTCCTCATTCTTCCCTTCCTCCTTGTCCCTGCTTCACCAACTACAAAACACTTCATTTGAGAATGTAAGGAATTCTTTGCTAAAAACTTTGCCCCAGGTAAAATGTGTCTCAATATCAGATTTCCATAAGTACTTCAATTAAAGCATATACTGACTTGGTGTGTTGACTTCACTCCAGGTTGAAATTTCAGTATCCATTATGAAATGTCACGGTTGGAAAATTTGAATTATGAACGAAGCTTCAAGAGGTTTTGTCATCACAAAACAGAAGAGAAAGGAGGAAGGGATGAGAGTACATAGGGGAGAAAGAGAAAAACTGTTAAGGTTTGCAACGATAACAAAATACGAGATGCGGAAACCATTTCACTGTGTCTGTATATACCAGAACGTCATGCGGTACAAAAGATAGACAATAAAAATGAATCTGCATACATAAAAAGCGTGTCTGCACCCCAGGCACCCAGGGTGCTTCAGTGCACACACAGGAGTCCCCTGGAATATCTTAAATTTTGAAGGAAACATCAGTCCCTGTCACATGTCACAACTACTAGCTCCAAATAACAGTCCAGATTCCAACCTTTGTGCAACATTTTTCAACACTCCTTGTCTTTATAAAACTAAGTTGTTGGTAGTTGCCATGGTAAAATACCAATGCAAAGCAATGTGGGATAAGAAATAAGCCTGGTGATTATCTTCAAAGGTTTGTAGTGTGGTGCAGTACCCAACCAAGGTGCACATGCCACTAATGACTGGTTAATTTTAATATGAAATAAATACTTTTATTCCAAGACACATGTATCTTTTTCTTAAATAATTCTTATATTAGGACACTAATACTTATTGAATTATTAGGACGTATACTTAATAAACAATGGTTTAACTGTTCCTTTGCACAAGGAGTGCTGTTAGTCAAGTAAGTTTGAGAACTTCTGCCCTATGGCACCTAATTTGGAGAACTGCTGTCAGTCATCTTTAGTCATAGGGCCCAATCACTTCTCATACATTTTCCTCTGAGAGGTAGCTTGTCAGTAGCACTTCTTTGGTAAGCACATGCTTAAATTATCATAAAGTTTGGTTTTTATGATGTTGAAACTGTAAAGGAGTTAAGGTTATGAATAAATTTGATTCAATCTGAATTTTCCCAGTATAAATCTGGGGCTGGTAATATTGGAAAAAGACAAGAGATATTTAGCGTCAACAAAACTGATTGAAATTCCACCCAGGCCATTTTCCCTTTTTGAGCCTTATCTATAAAATAGGGACAAGATTTCTTTGTAGAATCATTGAGAAATGAAGTGAGGTCACATATATAAAGGACTCATCTCCTTTCATTTCATGATGACTTTAATAATTTAAAGATGAAGCCTAATTTTATAAAGTTAGGTGTTTTAAATCCTAGTATCCACACATGACCACCCAACAGAACCCATGTGTAGAATCGAAAGATTTGCGCCTCAAGAGAAGCAGAGTCTTACACTAACAAATACACTAAAGGGGGGCCAACGAGACAGCTCAATGGACTAAGTGCCTGCTTAGGCAAGCACGGAGACCAGGGTTCAATCCCTGGCACCAAATGTCGACAGGCCCTGCCCTCAGAGGTGGGGGTTGGGGGCTGAAAACAGGATCACTACAAGTCTGAGCTGTGTAGTGAGATCCTTGAACCAAATACATATATATATATATATATATATGCACTAAAGGAAGAAAAATGCAAAGAAAATGGATTAAAGCAGCGTTGGAGGAGATCAGATTAATGAACAGTGTGGGCAGGCAATCTGAGGTCACCAAGGAGGTTTCCATAGCTGAAGATGAAAGGAGCAACAAGATTTGCAGGCCAGAACCCACCCTCCCCAGCCCTGCCATGAGGTAAAAGGAAACCATAAAGGAGTTAAGGATGCTGTTATTCTCTCGGAGCTGTTATTCTTTCACTTCCTGCCACCTATGTCTTCCCAGTCCTTTTTCTTCACATTCTGTGCCTACCATATCCCAACTATGTAGATGTCAAAGCAAAGGGTTTCACTTGGTCTCTTCCAGTTTTTCTTGTTAATGCACATCTATGTACACTTACAGGGACAAATGGGGCAAGTCCCTGGGGAAGAAGAACACAGTGCGGCAGCTTAGCTCAACGTAAGGGAAGATACGGAGTCCAGAAATGCCTTCAAATCTAGGACTTTTAGCTCCTGAGTTTATCTAGTCTGCCTAATTAATCATAATAACTATGCACATTATCCCAAGCAAGTTCTAAGGCCCAGTTTTAACTTCTGTGTTGACCTCCAGTTTCCATACAGAGCAACGGACCTAAGGATTTCCAAATATGTGTAAAGCTTGTTTACTAACAGTGTTTCATACCTCAGGCCCATTCTGTGAACTACAGCATAGCATGCAGAAACATGGTGACTGCAATTACAAGCAACAGCTTACTTTTAAATATGTTCTTTCAAAGTATAACCTCCCACTTGGGTGACATCGATGACACTATCAACCTTGAAAATAATACTGGTACTACTTTGTGAACAGTAAGAATTCTGCCCTTGCAGGAGGATACTGTATATCTTTACCCTTCTGGATTTGAAATGATTGATTTAAACAGGTCCTCTGAATGAAGCTTAAGCTTGAACTTGGTATAGAGGAGGTCCCTTGGGAAATTCTCTTGAGGAGATGGACCCACCCCCAAGTTAATGTCTTCATTTCCTTACAAATGCCTTTCTTCCCTTAAAAATGAGACTTCCCATGAAAAAAAAAAAAAAAAAAAAAAAGTCATATTCTTGACAACAGTTGCAGACCAGAGAGCAGAGAGGTGAATTCTTCCAAATGAAGTGATGCTGGTCCTCTCAGCTCTTTCCAAAATACTAAAAAGAAGCAAACAATTCCAACTGATTCTGTAAGGTCAGCATTACCCTGATATTGGATAGATAAGGACATCACAAAAAAGGTAAACCTTAAGCCAAAAGAACTTGCCAAAATTATCAACAAAATATTTCCAGATTGAATCTAGCAACATATTAAAAGGATTATTTATATTTGTGGTGACCAAGTGAGTTTTATCCTAGGACTTTAGGGGTAGTTCAACATAAAATCA